CCAAACAATGTCAGTTAATTAGTAGATAAAGCACATCTCAAAACTTTACCACACAGTTTGCATAATTGTATATAGCATTTTATGATTGCAAAAGGCTTGACACTGCATGAACTCTTTGGGGAAGAAAAATAGAGAAAAAGGGTTAATTGCACATTCATGCAAGTAAGGTTAGGCTTCCAACAAATATTGAACCAACTTACTCTCTAAAGAGAGTTCCAACACAGGGGACAGCATGCAAAACGAAACAAGAACAAAAACAAAACAAAACAAAAAAACAACAAAAAAGGGAAAAAGATAAAAACACACAAATTAGTGGCCATCAATACAAAGTTCCTGTATGGAATATAAAACAAAATAAAACAAAAAGGTATTTCAAAACTTTTATGATAAAATTAATAATTTCATTGGGATACCCAATGTATTTTAAAAGTAAGCACTTGGCATGTTCTTCAAATCATTCTCCCATTTTCTCCTCCAAACGATATTATTACTTTCTTTTTCTAAGCAATTCCCTACATCCAGCTATCATATTAAAGTAAACCTCTAAAAAAAAAAAAAACCAAACCAAAAACACAAAAACACCAAAACAAAAGTGATGACAGAGTAATTCCTACAGACACTTGAAAAGAGTTTAAGATGAGATTTGTTTAGCCATATGTGTGTGATAAAAAAACTCACAGCTCATGAACTCTTAATACTTAAAGGATCCTCCTGGTAATATATTGATAACTATTAATAGTTTTGCAACACCAAAAAGCAGGCACGGTTTCAGTGACTGGAACAGGTGTACCACACATGCTAACAACACAGGCCAAATTTTTGAAATCAAAGCAACATTCTTTTATGTCAGAATGCCCAGTAAACAAAACAAAACAATCAACTACAATAATTCAATGTAACATTCCTAAAGGCTTAATGAAAAGATAAAATGCTCTTCTGACACGTACAACTAAGTTCTGGAACATTTTCATTATCCTTCCCTGGCTCCCCACTACAAAAAAATCTCCAAGGTAGTTCTGATATATGCAATAGCTGCAATTTTAATTAACACAAGAACAAGCAACATTAAACCAAGCTGCTATTCATTATTGTCATTACTTCATTTAAAAACCAGCAATATTTCAACATTTAATTTTCTTTCCTCTCCTCTGACTTAACTGTTCTTTTTATGGAATGTTTTCTTCAGTTTCTCTTTAACTGCTTGGCTTTAGTCTTTCTTCTGGATTTCTGCAGTATGTAAGCAACTTTAGTATCATGTTGCTGTGTGCAGTGCAAGTTTCTTCCAAAATACATGGTGTCACAGATAGCTGCTAGTCACTTTTTCCAGCAGGAAAAATAAGGAGGACAGATGAACACTAAAGTAACCTGTCAAGACTTCTCATCACTCTAAATTTCATCTTCCATTGCAGCAATAAGGAAGACTTAAAAATATGTTAACTGTATTGCACAATCAAAGTAGTTTTTCTGGCAAAAGCTGGGAAAAGCCAATGCTTCTGAAATAACTAATTTGCTCTGAATTTTTCTGGGTTATCCTTTTATCAATTCTGAAGTTTGGACACAAAGCGGGACATGTTATACTCAACGTAAAAGGTAAGGTTTCTTCCAAACAAGCCTATAATTCAAACAAAATATGAAGTTACATGTTTTTTACATGATACCATTATAACTTTATTCAGCTCCTTGTGGACCTGCAGGTCCTTTTGCTACAGGAAATTACTACATATATGAAGCTGTACTGGTAACCCACCTCCCACAAAAATTGTGAAAATACTATCAAGCAAAGTAACTCAGTTAAAAAGATTTTAATGGTCTTAGAAAACAGAAGGATTATTCTCCTTGTTATATCATCCATACTGGATCTTTACCTAAGTAAAAGGGAATAAAATGGTGCATTTTCTTTTATACCGAAGTACAGTCTCCACCTTATCTATTGAATACTAACAATGGTGTAAAAATTATTCAACAGTCGCAAATGCCAGCCCTATCTATGAAATTTGAGGAAGACCATCAAAAGATAATATAAAATACCCTGGAAAATAAATAAGTACACATATGGTATAGTTCATCAGACTCATCAGGTACAATTTAGTCAGACCACTTTCTTTATGATTTGAATTACTGCACCAGAGCCTTTTGTTTCTAATTGAAAGAAAACCTTTACTCATGTTGAAGTGTTGTCTGTAAACAATGTGACTTCTTAAAAATACTTACAAATTTTAAGCACAAACTGTTGAACTACTTCAATGCATTTTAGATGAAGCTAACCTGTATTTCAATTATGGTGCAAAAAAGGTAGAAAATTATTTTGTTCAAAATTGCAAATTAAATAGATTGAAATCTGACACCATTAACTGCTTATAGAATACAGTCTGTGAAATTTTTACATGTACAAATACTGCTGACATATTTTACTGCAACTGGCTTTCTATTAATATGTTTTCAAATGTTTACTGCAAGTAAGAAAAACCTAAACATACCTTACTGTGAGGATCAGCAAACATTCTTGTGAAGATTTCACACAACCTTTTCAACTCAACACGACTGTCAAAGTGACAACAATACATTAGTCAACTCCCATGCTAGTATTACCAGAACATTAATGCATAGCAAGCAGTGAAATCAACTGTAAATATTGAATCAAATAATCTAGTAAATGAAGTAGAAAAAAGCACTTTAAGACATGGATAAAAATGTAATGGATTTTGGCTACAGTCAGACTTTCAACCTGGAAATGTCTCTCTCAACTGATTCATATATTAAGGCATTCCT